AACAAAATTCAAAGAGAATATTTCATAATTAAGTTAAGGTTTACCCTTTCCCTGGTAAAATACTAAGATTTGATCGAAATTAATGATTATTGCGTTACGAGCGTGAACCGACACTTTATAAATTACTAGCGGCCCATGCCGGCTTTGCACTGGTGGACATTAATTTCTTAAACATTTTTGTAGATATTGATATGTTCTTTAATATTGTGAAACATTTTTTTGTTCTATCATCAATAGTTTTCGCAGCGCATGCGATGAATGATATTTTATAGGCATTCTATACACCTTGGCTAACATTGTAGTGTTAGTAGGGATCCTTATTTTTCAAATTGTGAAAGAATTTTTGAAATCGGTCCAGTACTTTTTGAGCCAATTCGTTACTAACATACTTACATACAAATCTGTCCTCTTTTTAATAATAGTATAGATTTGCTAGTAAAATTGTGCTTAGTTTCCAGTTTCTAAAGCAGCTTTAGCGTGTGGTTTCATCTAGATTCATTTGGTTGAAGCGTGATATACCGTCCTCGATAAATGGACCACCTAACACATAAGGCGTTCCACAACCTACATTGGTAGCTGTTGCAATTTTTATATTATATACAGTATACATACATATATCCTTGACTCGAATTTATTATGGAAAAAGGCACACAATTCAAAAACTAACCCATACAAAGTGAACGCTTATACCTTCTCTCAGCCACACACTCAAATACGGAGTGTATTATACGCACACACACCCATTCACATAGATATACATTCACGCATACTTAACGTCTTATACGACTTTTGATTGATTAGATGTAACACTAAGACTACTTTTCTTTAAAAAATTTAAACATTGACCATGTACCACGGAATAATTTTAATGTATGTATAATGTATAATTCGAGATCCACAATACAGGGGCTCCCTAGTGTGGGGAATAGCGTTAGATACATTTTGTCAAAACCACATTTCTGTCATGAATTAAGTTTTAATATTATTAATTGTCGTTAGTAGGGATGTGGAAACAATTAGTGTAAGAACAATGAGAAAGGTTACACTGACTTTAACAAATAGTCACTAAACAAGTAAACATGGCAAATTGTCAAGTGAGTATAATTGGTTTATTATATCAAACCCAAACCATTACCCATAACGAAATTTTAAAATAAAACCTCCTTTTTCGAATAATACGAAATTCTAAGAAAGTCTTCAGCTTTATACTATTAGTAGTGTCAAGTGGTGTAATGGTTTAATGGATTCTTGCAAAAATTTTGAGACTAAAAAATGCGGCGGAAAGTAATTTGCTCATAATTTGAGAACTTTGATTACTTTCAAAAGTGTTGTTCACTAAGCATTATTTGCGATATTACAGTATTAAATTAGATTAGTAAATTAGTACCTGTATCAAGTTGTTGAAGATTTAAACATTTCTCAAGCTCAATAGGTGAACTTTAGAAAGTGTACTTAGGATAAAGGCATAATCCTAGTGAGAAGGTGCCAAATCAAATTGAATAGGCGTTCAACCAAATCATGGTTTAACGCCCTTAACTTAAACTAGCTACACATTAATTAGTGAAGAGGGATTACTTAACTATTGTTGTATAAGAAGCGGTGGTTAACGTGCAACTTTGAGTGTTAATAAAACGAAGAATTTAAAAAAAATATGTATTTTAATAGTAACTAAGTATTCATCTAAAAGATGATTATTTTCATTTGATACCTTTTTCATTGCTTGTTTTGTCTGGTATGATAATGATGTTCTTGGAGGGTGGACGAAACAGTAACTATATGGAGAGCAACTAGGCAAACGCTACAGAGGCAGAACTTACGCTCGATGGGATGGTGACATCAAAAAACTCGTGGGTCCAAATAGCTCGGGATAGAGAAAGAAGCCTTGGAGGCCTTTAACGGAGAGGTTCCTTGATACATACTAACTGAAGAATATATTTACTAACACATAGGATAATTAGATAATAAGTGTACCAGGAAATAAAGTAAGGCTTAAAATAAAATAAATACTTTAAAAATGTACTAATCTTTCCCAAGGGTTCACTTGTACCACTGTCATTATTTTTATACGCAGCGATTGTGTTCCGAATCGAGTTGTGCGATTTTTCGGTGTGTTTATAAGCCTGACTTTGTCTTCGACATTTAATTTAAAAAATACTTAATACTGTGGATTAAACATTTTACTATTAATTCGATCAATTTAAAGTATATAACGAGGTGAGCCAATCTAACTAATTAAAATTACAAATTGAACTTTGTGATAACAATGGACACCTCGCTACGCTAACATAATTTGAATTTTTTAATTTTTTTTACGTAACGAGTAATACTGAAGATTCTATTCGTTTATTTCCTAATTCAAATCTTTGCAAAACTAGATATGTAAATTCATTCAAGCTTTACATAAAGGTTAATTTCGCTTGAAGTGATTTTGCCCGGAAAATTTGTACAGGAGTTTCAAATATTTGTTGTCACGAAGCCGTAGTAGTTTCGTATTTTTTCATACTAATTCACATAGAATACGGAAAAGCTGTGTGCGGTATTCTTTCGCGCTTTCTATTTCGAGAAAACGGGGCACTTTTATAAAAAAAATGTAACAGATATTCCGACAAGACAGAGACAACTTTTTTTCATACCTCATACGCAATTTTCTAATTACAACGCAAGGGGCGACGCGGGCATTAGGTTAATTTGTGTGGGGCTCACATACCCAAACTTTGTATTATTAAACTGATCTAGTAAAATAGCAAATTCGGATCTGTATCGATATGCAGAATATGCAATGCGAATAATTATATTACAATAAAAGCTATTTCGTAACAATATAATATGTATATGTGTGTGTGTATAGGTAGCCTGTCCAAGTCCTAAGGGGGTCAAGATCTTGACTTTTGTAACTCATGTATTTCCTTATTCTTTTGTAATCCATTTGAATTGTAATTCATGAACCTTTAGATTAGCATATATTAAATTAAATAAAATAAGTTTATTTTTAAGATTAAGTAAGATTTGGTTAATTTTCAGTGTTCCTTTTTTTATAGAATAGGGGGCAAACGAATTTACTTGTAATTTTATTTTTGTTAGTGAACTTTATACACTCTTAGTATTTATTTTTTATGTTTTTTTTCCTTAATAGGGTAGTTTGCAAGAGATCGCTTGTTAGCGATAAGGCCGCCCGTTGCCCTTATAATTTATGTTTCTTGTTTTTATTTGTAATGAAACGTAAATTAATAAATAAATCTTTTTATAAATTTGACGATTATTTCAATGATCCGAATCCTTTCCGATTGATTTGCACCAGTTTAAAAAAATTGTATGACTCAAAACTTAGGATTAAAAAGGGTGACGGAGAGTTTCTTGCCAGTTCTTCTTGCCCGCTTTACACCCTACACTTGTGAACTGGTAGTAAATGTAAATTTAGAATCAATTGAACATCTTTTCTGTTGACGTTCATAAGTGTACTTACCTACATGAAATAAAGTTATAAAAAAATAGGAATTTTTAATAAATACATTCTCCTGAACCTAAACGTAAATAGAAACCTGTGTTCTACGAAATCGTAGAAATCCAACCCTTTATTTAAGACGGAGCAATCAGAAGTTTCAAGTTATTCTGCTATTTCAATTCAAGTTATTTCAGAAACTAACTTGAATTGAAAATAGGTATTTATGTTTTAAACTTAGATTTTTACCTTTAGGAAGAAAAGAAAGGTTTTGAAAAAATGCCCTATATTGAGCTAAGTCTAAAAAGACATTATAATAACGAAATAACCTCATAATTTACACATTGCATGTTTCATTACTTCTTAATGGACATAGTAATGGGTAAAAATATAGAACATAATATAAACATTAAAATTTTGCATTGCACATTGAAATTTATATAATACTAGTGGACCCCAAAGACGTTGTCCTGCATGATATTTAAAGCGATTAGGATATTAAGCAAAGTATGAAAGTACCGACTGCAGGATTTAAACAATTTTCTTCTCCCGCTGATATACCCAAAATAATCCATTCCAAACATTAAAACATTGCATTGCACATACACACGCACACAAGAAATTTATATGATAAGATTTAATAGTGTAGGACTATACCATGGCTTTTTGACGATTCGTGGATCGAAACACGAAATAATAAATATTACGTGTTGCTCCGCCTGTGAAGTACCCAGGAAATTTCTGAGCTTCTGGAAGGAGCTAGGCTGGCTTGATTCACTAGGACTTTACACACAACGGACCAAATCGGCGTCTAAATGTGGATGGAAACTAAATCCACTCTACAACATACGTATCAAGTCTTTAGAATAAATGTATGCAACACGTTTCTTACAATGATGGGTATCAATATCTTTATTTATTACCAATATGTATATGACCAAAAGATGACAGAACTTTAACTCTAGGATTTAGTACAGCCTTGCGATTCTGTAACTCACTTTTCGCAGCTTTCACAATCAGAATGCCAATCGTCAAATTGCTGAATACGACTGTTTGAGGGTCTGCGCTGCGAAAACCGAGAGTTTGAAAGTAGTTACGAGAATCGCAAGATGCCATTTGCTTTAAATTTGATTCATCAATGCGATTTGATATTGTGAATTCTATTGTTCACCTCTACCCACTTCGAATTACGTAAATTTAAAGAAGGCTCGTTTTCTTAATGGCTTGTGTACTTTGAATTTGTCACGGCTCTACTTGTGAAACTGTGACGCAAGCTCGAGCGTCATTTGTTTTAGGGTCAATTAAATTCAGATAAAATGTCACTACAAATATTACTAAGTTAATAAAAATGTTCTTTAACCTTATTTTAAATTACATCTTTCAGTCTCAGAAGCTGAAAATGGATTATAAAAATATAGAGACATTGACATCAAAAAGAACATTATGTTAATAAAACGAAGGAAAGTAGCTTAAATTTTATAATGTATTTTTTAAAGAATTATTGAATTTGAAGCATTATATATTTGAGTATGGCATTAACATTGTAAAACTAAGTATTAATCTAAAAATTTACTAAGCCTTCCCAAGGGTTCACTGTCCCCTCATTATTTTTAGTTCCACCCACCCCGAGGCCAAAAGGAGCACTTGCTGACGTCCGCAAAAAATAAACACCTCGAGTCAACGTTGAAGAGCCGTAACCTAGGACTGCAAAATCTTTATCTTCACAGGCGTTCGACTCAAATTGCTTCCAACTCTTACATTTTACTCCAATAATCGATTTAGGTGTCTCTACGCTCTCTAAATACAATTTAGCAGCGCGTAAATGACTACAGGAAGGCATTATACAACCTGGCTGCATCGGCCCACCCCCATTCACGTAAAAGTCTACGTGTCCCAAAGCCTCTGTTATGCCTTGGACCAGCTTATTTGTATGTATTATGTCTACGTATTTCGCGTCCATTTTATCTAACCTCTGTTCTGAATACGCCGACGAAAAACACGGCCCCGCTGGATCCAACCCTGAAATGCGTCCAAGCTTAGCCATTTTGTATCGTTGGAAATATTTTCCAGTCCAACCAGCGATGTGGGCGCCTAAACTGATACCAATTAGGTGGAAGTCAGCAGAGTTCGCGCCAAAGTCCTCTAAATTCGCCAGTAAATTGGCCAGTCTCTTGCCGATTAGGCGAGCATTATGAACTGATACCAAATAGTTCTTGTTCATCATTTCTTCGGAATCCACTAGGAGTACGTTAAACATTTTTTTCTCATCATATGCTTTCGCCAAGTCTAAAGATACTGATGATTGGGCATTATCTCTGTAGCCATGAATGATGATCTTTGTTTCCTTTGCTATATCAAATATGCTCGGTTTTATGAGACCTTTATATGAGTTATCGATGGGAAAGCTTGTCATCTCATCTCCATTTAAAAAATATATTTTCATTGTTGATAAAATTTCGTTTTGGCTATTCATTGAATCGTGTTGTAGGCTCATCAACGCTCTACCTGTAACGTTAAAATATAAATTTGCAGAAACAGATACATTCAATTTACTTTAGTCTCGGAGTATAATAAATATTTGCTTTGAATAAATATTAGTATCTTTGTGAAATAAATTGCAAGCGTAAAATCAATATAAGAATTGCAAAATGCGAAAGAAATCAATTCATCAACGCAAACTTGCAACGGTAATAGAACGTTTAACAATTTAATATACAAAATATCTCAATTATACGTAAATAAATATTATATATATTCCCCCCCCCCCCACCCTTTTTTTGCTTGCCCCTCTATATACCAAATATCTGTTCGGTTTTTGAAATGAAAATTCTCTATAAACATCTCATAAGTCATAAGATTTGAATAAAAAAATAGAAAAATAGGGTTTGATCGTAGAGGGGTGAAAATTAAGAGTTGTATGTATTTTTGTATTCTGTATTCATAAAAAAATGAAAACAAAAAATTTTATCTAAAAAATAAAAATAAAAATAAAAATTTAGGGGTGGATAGTAGTCGATTCTCTGACGTATTGAATATGCATATAAAATTTGATAAAAATCGGTCAAGCCGTTTCGGAGGAGTATGGTAACTAACATTGTGACACGAGAATTTTATATATAAGATGATAATAAATTAAAATTACTACTCGTACTCACAAAAAAGGTGACGCGTTTAATTAATAATGTATATTGAATAAAGATATTAATCTAAGGCATACAATTAATTAAATTGCCAAAACATTCCCACGATTAAACCTGTACATTCACATACAGACAGACAGGGTCACATACACAAGGTCACTTACATGCACCAGACAATCTGGAGAATAAATTTTCGGCCAAGGTATCGAACTGCGCGCTGACCCGCACTGTTGTGGCTATCAAGAGCACTGTAACGGTTAACTGGTGCATGGCAAGCCACGGTCAGTATGCCACTGCGAGAGAAAGGTCTGACCACACTGGCTGGAGGGGATTATCTCGTGCAATTGTACACGCGATTGTTACGTCATGGCCCTCGGTCGCTGGACTTGCATGTTGAGTCGGTTTTTGTTTTGATGTCAAAACAACTGTCAGCATTATAAACATCTAATATATAAAATTCTCGTGTCACAATGTTCGTTCCCAAACTCCTTCGAAACGGCTCAACCGATTCTTAGTCTGAGAATCGGATAACATCTATTTTTCATCCCCCTAAATGTTAAGGGTGGTCCCACCCCCAAATTTTTATTTTTAGACAAAACTTTTTGTTTTTATTTTTTATGACAGCATACAAAAATACATACAACCCTTAATTTTTACCCCTCTACGATCCACCCCTATTTTTTATTATAGTAGATAGTTATTTTTATTGAACTAAAAAATTTTTTCCTAGAAATAATATACATGGCAAAACGACGTTTGCCGGGTCAGCTAGTTATAAATAATAATAAAGAACACGGTATTAATTCTTAAATATTAGTAATTTTTGTAAATATAGGCTTAAATTACAGAATGTTTGCAATATATGAATAAACTTTTTTTTAGTAATAGTAATATACATATAAGTAACCCATACATCAAAGTCAAGCCGACAGCGGATGATAGGAATAATGATAGATAGTGGTTAATCCCGGAAAATTATAAAAATGTCACGTATTTTTACAATTACTATAATCTCGAAAAAAAACTAAAATAAATAATATTAATTTAATCCACCTTACCTTTTTCTACATATCTATATATATATACTCATAGTACCCCTAATAGCCTACCAACCACGAGATCAGGCAGATCTCAGGCAGATCAGCCGAGAAGCTAAGCAGAGTGTCAAATCTCCCTTTCTCAAAAAGGTACTTTATTAATTCAGCTTGGTCTGGTAGGATTGGCGTCTCCCGGCCTGGAGATCGACTACTCCCGAAACACCACTTTCACATTACCGTTTCTCTTCTTTAAAGGGCAGGCAAAAATTTACAGAGCAATCGTATATAGTTGTATATAGCTGCTTTTAAGTACCAAAACAAAAACTTGCTGACTCAGCGTTTATCGATTACCCGAAGGGTTCAATTCCCGATGACACATTGTATCAATATAGAAGGAACAAAAAATATCATATTAAAACGTGTTTCACAAAACGCCTCGAGGTTGCTAGAGGTAACGACTTAGATAAAGTATGAATTAATATTCGACAAAGCTCACTTAGGGTTGTTGGCATATTAATGTTTTGATATCTCATTAAAACGGTCTAGTAACATGAGACTTCAAACAATTTAAAGGTTTGCTTGTTAAATTGCAGACGCTATGTATCACATATTGTATTTAATGTATATTATTAAATAAAATAGTCGAAAATACCTCGAATGATACCAAATTTTAGTCACAAATGTGCTAATAATAGATGTCATTTGAAGGAGTGACCTCTACATGTTTTCTTTTTAACATGACTGAAAACAAGGCTCAGAGATAGTATATGTTTTAGGCGACTCATTGGTCTAGCGGTTAGTACCCCTGACTGCGAATCCATGGGTCCCGGGTTCGATCCCCGGCTGAGACGAACATCGATGTGATAAGCATTTGGTGTTGGGCTTAGGTCTTGGGTGTTTAAATATGTATTTATATGTTTATCTATCTATAATATGTATTATATCCGTTGCCTAGTACCCATAACACAAGCTTCACCAGCTTAGCATGGGACTAGGTCATTTGGTGTGAATTGTCTTTAAAAAAAAAGAAATAATATGTTGATATTAAATAATCATGTACACAAATTTAACGTTAATTATGTTATTGTTAATTTTATTTATTTCTAATATCATCTTCACAACTACTACTCCCCTATATCTAATATATTATCTGATCCAGGACCTGGGAAGAAAGGGTCATAAAAATTCAGGGTATAATCCCACCTAAAATATAAATTATATAAAGGAGCATTCATTAAAATGCATAATTAATATTTTAATCAGATATATATTCATTTAAAAAATACACTAAAATTTAGTTTACTGGCTTTTTTAATATAAAATAATATTTTCTTTTAATATTAATTAAACAGAACTTAACAATAAATAACAACAGAGCCTTTTTAATGATTAGGTTGTTTTCGTTTTTTAACAAGAACCGAGTGGGCAGATTACAAAAGCAAGGAGGCGGTGAATGAAAAAGTAATTCGTGGAAATTCGAATGGACATTAATTATTAGGAGCAAATGAAATATCCCAAACATACCAATAGTTTCACAACTGCCCTGCGATTCTGTAACTCACTTTTCGAACTCACACAGCGGTTTTCGCATCCGCGGTCGCTCTGAAATCAGTCGTGAAGCAGTCATTTTATGATTTGGCATTCTGATAGACAATAAACTACAAGCTCCCACCTTTTCAGACCGCCGATGCGAAAACCGCTGTGTGAGTTCGAAAAGTGAGTTACAGAATCGCAGGGCTTTGTGAAAAGATCTGTGAACGTGTGAAGTATATTGAAAAAAAAATAAGGGTGCGTGTACTTATGTACGCGCGTAAGAAGTTATACTTCTTTGGCATTATTAAAAATAGTTTGGCTTTGTTCCACCTCCAGTTTTTGATGTTTCACAGCGATAAGATGACAACTCTTTTTTTGTATTCAATTTAGTGCACTTACACTGATTCATCAATTGTTTTTTGTCTCTTGTCCTTATATTTGCTAGAGAAAAATTACATGTTTTGATTAAACAATGTGGTAATTTTTTTAATCAAAACATTACTCGATAATAATAATACAAACTGATAGTTAACCTCAATTGTAATGAAGCACTTAGGAAGGTTGATGAGCACAGTTTTTTCACAAATATTAATTAGTATTGGTTTAAATATTCAATTTAAATCACTTCTGATTATATATAATTCAAAAAGCATTGCTAAATTTCTTTGAAAAAATAATTAAAACTCCTTTATTTGTTTAAAAGGTAAATGACAAATGTCATTATGGTCATTCAAAATTCTTGGCATACGAACTTCACGCATATTCTATTTCTTTTTACTTGTAGATTGTCTTATTCCTATCTCGCTTGCGCACGCTATAATCACACTCCTAATTTTGTGTCACGGTGCGCGCGCATCGTAAAATTTCACTCTCATAAATTTTTCATAACGCGCCTAAAGAAGTATAACTTCAATAAATAACTAAAACGTCGCAAATAGAATGTAATTCAACCAAACAAAAGTATTTAACAAAGATAAATTTGATTTAATTCAATTTGAGCAGTGTACAGCTTGCTAATTAGTGGACTGTGAAATGTGTGTTTAAAATTTATATGTATTCAATGTCAGGAGTATCTGAATAGTATATGTAATGTATGTATGAGCAAGCTGCAATAGATGACTAAATATATGAGAGGGTGAGACGTAAGGACCAAATGTAAAATTAGAAGCATTAATACGTATTTCTTTACTGACAAGTCATAAGCGTACAATGTGTTACCTATATGATTAAATGATTTTTGAATTTAAACAACCCTACGGATCCCTAAGCCCTACAGACGTACCCTAACACATAAATATTGAATATATAAATATATAAATAAGTACGGGATGTCTCCACCAAGAGACCTAATGTAACAGACGGAGCCCTACGGGTAGGATCAAAAGTTCGAGGTGGTGGGATTATCTCAAAGCTACCGGGCAGGCTCACCACGATAATTAAGGGCTTGAAGTAGTCTTCGCCACTTTGAGAGGAACGAAGAAATGAACAAGACAGAGCAATATTCAAATCAGATTTATTGTTATAAAACAATATCTTAAATTCTAATTACACCTATTCACACATACATGATAATATTCTAGTGAGCTGTTGGTGTATTTTGTTAGGGGTGATCCACTATAATGTTTTAGTTCAGCTGATCGCCGCATTTCGCTGTGGTTCTTACGAGTATATAACGGTATATTAGATGTACTTGAAATTGTAAGAGCTTTCCAATTCTTAAAACGCCAATTCTAAAAAAAATACTTTTAGCAGTAGGTAAAATACTATGTAAGATTTAGGAACCATCATATGCTTACATTGTTAGGTTTTGCTTTGTCCACCGTGAGACAAAGGCATAGGACTCCATCGGGTTCCACTAGTGTCTGTCGTGTGCCAGGCGCGGCCAGGAGACTTTTCGACACTGGTTTTAATTCACTGTATTATTATTGTTCTTGAATATTCTTAGATTTTTTTTATAGAACAGATGGCAAACGGGCAGGAGGCTTACCTAATGTTAAGTGATACCGCTGCCCATGGACACTCTCAATTCCAGAGGGCTCGCGAGTGCGTTGCCGGCCTTTTAAGAATTGGCACGGTCGTTTCTTGAAGGATCCTAAGTCGAATTGGTTCGGAAATACTTCAGTGAGCAGCTGGTTCCACAAAGTGGTGGTGCGTGGCAAAAACTGCCATGAAAAACACTCAGTTGTTGTGTTGGAACGGCGGATGTCGAGGTGATACGGGTGGAATTTCGCCTTTCGCCTATTCTGCCTTGACGTCCGATGATGAAACTCAGCTGCAGGTATCCGAACAACTCCCCTGAACAATCTCCATGGTAAATGCGGTAGAAGATGCAGAGTGACCCCACATCTCTACGCAACGCCAAAGGATCAAGCCGCTCGGACAGGGATTGGTCGTCGATGATTCGAACCGCTCTTCGTTGAATACGGTCAAATGGAAGGAGCTGGTACTGGGGAGCCCCCGCCCAGAGGTGAGAACAGTACTCCATTTGGGGCCGAATTTGCGCTTTATACAGTTGTAAGCGGTCGCCTTGCTGAGCACACCAAGCTTTTTGGAGTCTAATTTAGCCTTTCCCTTCAAGTGACCGCGAAACTGAACGTCGTTCGATATGTCAACGCCAAGTATTCCAATGCTAAATTTTTCAATGTGTCGAACTGAAGAAATATTCTTATGTGATTTCTTGGCTTGACTTCGCTGTGGGGG